CCTTGAAAAGTTGAAAACCTTGTTATGAAGGTCCCATTGTCATTACTTCGCCGCACTGAAATTTCATCTGCGGGTATTTAAGGAAAAAAAAAAAAAAAAAAAAAGTCAACTTCTTATACAGATACACATATCAGCCACATAATAAAGTCTCTTAGGCCATGCTTCCTTGTTTATATATATAGAGAGAGAGGCTCTGCTGTCAGAGTTCTTGAAACAGCATGAATTACGTAGCATTAGTTTGCAACTTTGCGTTCAAGTACGCAAATGATTGGAGAATCATATGTATAAATGATATGATTACACGCTGCGCACCAAATTGCAAACAAACCGTGCAAGCAGTCTTATGTCAACAAATGGAACAGAAGTTCAAAACACTGTTGACTTTTCAAGTCAATTCTCCCATTCATTCACAGGCCTCGCTAGAGGCTTGTTCCGACGAAACTGTTTGTGAGGTGAGGATAACGAAGCCGACACATAAGCTTTCCGGTATAGAATAGCCAACGCAATTTCGTGGTCAGACGTTGCGTTCCCGATGTGGGTCATGGCCGATTGCATATCACAGTCTGCCCAATCAGCGCACTAATTCGGGGGTGCCTACCTACCTCGTAGGACGATGTGGTGGATAAATCCACTAGCGCTATGCGGCTTTTTCCCCCAACACAAAGCCCTAAGTTCTAATTTGGGGGCAGCAGTCCGGTTACTTCTCACCGGCAAGCATGTTTGTACATCCAAAGAAAGGAGGTCAGATCAGATCAGGAATTTATAGGGAACAGCCCAACCCTTGTGGCATTGATCGTCTACCAAGGGAGGACCTGCTAAAGTGGGCCCACCCCCGCAAACTACGGTCCTTCTCTGTGGGCTGGGAGGCTTCCTAGCAGCACCCAGACACACAGCAGTGGGACCCTGAGAGAGACAGGGCGCGGAGAGGGGCTTCCCCTGCAGTTCCTCAGGCAGCCTATCAAACTCCACAGACTATTAAATTGAAATCAGACTTGTCTCAACTCACTTCCAGCATGCATGCAAACAGATGCAAATACGACTCGGCGCAATGCACCCACACAAAGCTCAGAGATAAGAACATGGCCAGGAACACAGTTCAGATTCAGCTTGTCTTGAATGGCTAA